CTTGAGCCCAGGAGTTGGAGGTTGCTGTGAGCTGTAATGCCACGGCACTCTACCCAGGGGGACAGCTTGAGGCTCTGTCTCAAAAAAAAAAAAAAAGAATTTCATCCCATAAACTAGACACAATAGAGTGTGCCTGTAATCCCAGCTAGTCAGGGGACTGAGAGGGAAGGATCACTTTAGACCACAAGGAAAATGAGACCAATGTGGGCAACAAAGTGAGACCCCATCTCAAAAAAAAAGGAATTTCATATAAACTGAACCATGCTGTATGTAGTCTTCTTAAACATGATATTTTGGAGACTTCTCTATATTGTTGAATGATTTCATATTTCATTTCTTTTATGGCCTTTAATAAGTATGGATATATTAAAGTAATATATATATCTATAAGTAAGGTGATTCATGTCAACTCAATGATTTTTTAGTTTAAAAATTTAATTAATGTGAGATGTGTTTTCATAATAAACACGTACATCTTAACTTCTTTTTTTTTTTTTTTTAATTAATTGGTTATCTTTACTCATTTTATGACTCAAACTAGCTTTGGCCATTGGGAGCTTTTGTAAGATGGCTGATGCATCCTTTTTACAATAACTATTATTCTCTAATCCATTTTGCTATTTTGTTTTAGTGTTTCTTTATTTTCTTTTTTTTTATTGAATGGTAACTATGTACATCAATGCACTTCTGGGTTTTTTTTTTTTTTTGAGACAGAGTCTCGCTCTGTTGCCCAGGCTAGCTCACAGCAACCTCAGACTCTGGGGTCAAGTGATCCTCCTGCCTCAGCCTCCTGATTAGTTGGGACTATAGATGCCCACCAAAATGCCTGGTGGCCAATTTTTCTATTTTTGGTAGAGATGGGTTCTCACTCTTGCTCAGGCTGATCTTGAACTCCTGAGCTCAAACGATCCTCCCATCTCAGTCCCCCAGAGTGCTAGGATTACAGGCGTGAGCCACTGTGCCCAGCCACGTTATTACCTTTTGACAGTTAAAATCTGATTATGCCTTTCTTTCACAAATTAGGTTTGTAATTAAATTATTTTAAATTATTTCTTTTAAGCGATTTGGTTATGATGTCCCTTGACACAGTTTTCTTCATGATTTTTGTGCTTAAAGTTTGTTAAGCTTCTTTGATCTGTGGGTTTATAGTTTTCATCAGATTTGCAAATCTTGAGGCCATTATTTCTTCGCATACTTTTACTTCGTCTCTTCCCCTTCTCTCCTTTGAGGACTCCCTTACGATGTATATTAGACCACCTGACGTAGTCTCATTGCTCCCTGATTCGTCCATCCTTCCTTCCTTTCTTTGTTTCCTTTATTTCTATTTCAAGTTGTTTCTATTGTAGTATCATCAAGTTCAGTTTTCCTCCTACAATCTTTAAGTCTACTCTTATTCCCATCTAGTGTATTTTTTCATCACAGATACTATTGTTTTTATCTCTAGAAATTTTATTTGAATTCTTTTTTTTAAACACCATCCATACCTCTAACATGTTCATTCTTTCTTCCAGCTTTTAGAACGTGAGGAATATAGTTGCAACTTTTTTTGAGAGAGACAGAGAGCATCTTTTCTGTTGCCTGGGCTATATAGTGTATTGGTGTCAGCCTAGCTCACTGCAAACTCCACCTCCTGGGCTTAAGCGAACCTTCTGCCTTGACCTCCCCAAAATGTGAGGATTATAGGTGTGAGCTACTGCACCAAGCCCAGTTATAAATTTTAAAGTCCTTGTCTACTGGTTTTATAATTTTTCATTTCTGAGCCTTTTCCTATTGATTGGTTTTTCTTCTCATTATGGGTAATTTTTACATGACTGGTAATTTTGTTATTGGATACCAGATACTATGAGATTTACCTTTTTGTGTGCTAAATTTTTTTGTATTGCCATAAAACTCTTGAGGTTTATTCTCAGATGTAGTTAAATTACTTGGAAACACTTTGATCCTTTTGAAGTTTGATTTTAAGCTTTTTTAGGTAGGATGAGAGCAGGCTTTAGTCTAGGGATAATGTCAGTAACCTTTCTGAATATTCTTTCTGATGCCTTGTGAGCTGTGAGGTTTTCCTCTCTTGATTAATGAGACTGAGCACTATATTCAGCCCTATGTGAGCGTCAAGAATTGTTCCCTTTGCTTCTTCCCTCATTCTCTGTAGCTTTTCTATATTCAAGCCCTGCTCAGTACTTAGCTGAAGACACCAGGGACCACCTGAGATCTCTGCAGCACCTCTCTGCACAGCTCTGCCCTGTGGACTGCAGCTGCCTGGGGCTCCTTGTCCTGTCTTTTCAACTCGAGGAGATGCCGGGCTCCTTTGGGCTGCCTCTGCTTGCCCTGTAGCCTAGAAATTGCCTCTAGTCAGTACGGGGCTGGCTCATTTGCTTTCCCTCTCTCAGGATTGCTGTCCAGTGCTGCCTGCAGAGCAGTATCTGAAAACTATTGTTTCCTATATGTTCAGTTTTTAACTTTTCAGGAGGAAGTAAACCTAGTTTTATTATTCCATCTTCCCTGGAAGCAGAAATCCCAACCTTGTTGTTAAAACTTCTGATGAAATACTTAAGCACATAGGGAAGTATGTAGCATATTCATTATTCAGATAGTGACTGCTCAGTTTTATGGTTTTGTAATATGTCTGCTGAATTTTTAAAAACAATTTAAAACATTACAGATACAGTTAAAGTCCTCTCGTCTTGGTCCTAATGTTCTCTTTCCCTTTATAGAGATAGCCAGTATTCTATATTTAATAATTATCATTCATGTGTGTATTTTTAAAAAGTTTTACTGTATATGTATGTATTCATAAATAATCTCTATTATATGAAAAAAACCACACTGTACCCTATGATTGCATTAATGTACACAGCTAACATTTAATAAAAAAAAATAATCTCTATTAATAGTATCATTTGAAGATTTAAAACAGTATCATGCTTTACCTGTTATTCTTTAATGTCTTTTTTGATATGACATTTAACACTTACTCCTTTGATACACGGAGCTTCAGTTTAAATATACATTCTACAATGCCAAGGGTATTGCTGGATTTCATTCACCATGATATCTCAAGCATCTGGGAATAGTGTCTGGCACACAGTATGCACTCAGTAAATATTTGTTGAACAAAATCATTTTAAGGGCCATCTAGTACTTGATTGGGTGGATGTGCTACATTCTTCCTTTGGTGATGTTTAGGCTGTTGTACTTTGGGCGGGGTTCTTGGCTACCGTGAATGATGCTGTAGTGAGTGTTCTTGTAAGGGTTTCTTTGTGCACGTGTGTATTTGTGTACATGTAGGAAATGCTGCTTCTCGGGTAGACAGCCCTTTAGCTTAACAACTACATTGCTGAATTACTTTCTGTGGTAATAGTACCCCGTCAGCAGAGTTCTCATTTCTTCTTATCTTCCACCAACATTCAGTATTATTGGTTCTTTTAATTTTTGCCAATCTTATACACGTGACATATATATACATTTTTACTTTTTTTAAAAAAAGATAACATGTATGTTTTTTCCAAATAGAAATTCAATGTCTTCTTTCCGTCCTGGGAGAGGACATAATGATAGTCGGAGGACTGTGTTTTATACCAGTGAAGAGTGGGAACTGCTAGATCCAACCCCTAAGGACCTGGAGGAGTCCGTGGTACAGGAAGAAAAGAAGAAACCAGCATCTGAAGGAAACAAAGGTAGTAACGTAGTTCCTTTATCTGTCATTCTCTCCATTGCCGTCTGTTAACGTCAGGAAGTGGGAGAATCTTTATTAGTAGGTATTTTGTAAGCCTTCTTGGGAGATAGAGAACCTAGAGGTCACAGTGCTCTTCATGGAAATACTGATTTAAGAAAACTTTATTTATAGATATCTGAAATGTACCCCCCAAAAGAGAATATAGTACTGTAAGTTCTGTTGTACCTCATCCTCCTTCCACAAATTTAAACTTATGGTTGAAGTTTTTCCCTCTGTATCGCCTCTAATCTCCTACCCCTCCCTGGACTTAACATCCTCTGGATTATATTAAAGTAAATTCTAGACATTGGTTCTTTGCCTCTGCAAATGCTGTAGGATGTTTCTCTAAGAGATAATGACTCTTTTTTACAAACCATAACTTCATTATTATATCTAAAAACAGTTACAATAAATTCTTGTATCATTAAATTCCCTAATTATTTCATAGATGTCTGTTTACAGTCAGTTTGTTAACAGAGGAGCCAGACAAGGCCACACATTGGATTTAACTGATAATCTTCTTAGGTCTTTAGACTGACCCTTCCCTGTCTTTTTTCCTTCCCTTTCCCTTGCCACATGTGTTGAACAAACCAGCTCTTCATGCTGAGGAATTCCCCACATCTGGATTTTGCTAATTGTGTTTTTGTGGGGTCATTTAGCACTTCCTCCCTGCGCTGTGTTTCCTGTGTATGGCAATTAGATTCAGAGGCTGACCCAGATCCCGGGTTGACTGTTAAGTTTGACAAGGATGGCTCGGCGCCTGTAGCTCAACCAGCTAAGGCGCCAGCCACGTACACCTAAGGTGGCGGGTTCGAATCCCCAGCC